TATTGGTTGGCTGGGAACTTCTCCTCCGTTTCCAGATTTGGACATGGAAACACTCCATGAAGAAATCATAGTAGAATGTCATGAAGGCTCCATCACCATGTTTTACTGTGTCTTGAGCTACTTGAGCTTTTTGGCCCTTCTCAGCTTCGCTGCAGCCTTCCTAGCCAGGAAGTTGCCAGACAGTTTTAATGAAGCCAAGTTCATCACTTTCAGCATGTTAGTTTTCTGCAGTGTTTGGCTGACCTTTGTCCCCACCTACCTGAGCACCAAAGGGAAGTACATGGTGGCTGTGGAGATCTTTTCTATTCTGTCTTCCAGTGCTGGTTTACTGGGATGCATCTTCATCCCCAAAATCTATATAATTGTGCTGAGGCCTGAGCTTAACACTAGAGAACATTTAATACATAAGAAATAGAACAGGATTGCATTTTGAACAACCCAGTGCTAATCTCTTCTATGCATACAACTACATTCATAAACACGAATAAGCAACTAATCTGAGGAAGCTGTGCCCATGTTTCAAACAGTTATATAGATGATTTCTGTCCAAGTTCCAACAGTACAGATAAGACTTAACCAAGGAGAGAAGCAAAATAGAACTAAGGAGAAATTTCCTGATAATGGGAATAATCAACCAGTGGAACAGCTTGCTTTCAGAAGTTGTGGCTCCATCACGGAGACTTGGAGAAGAGATTGGACAGCCATTTATCTGAAATGGTATAGAGTCTCCTGCTTGAGCAGAGGGTTGGATTAGAACAGGGCTTTTCAGATTGTACCACTTTTAGGACATGACAATATTCGAGTACCAGTGCTTGGCAAGGTGTCAAAAACTTGATGACTGAAAAAAAAGAGGCAGGATTTTGGATTTTACTGGTTAGATTCATTTATTGTTATAGAAATGGCTAGTTTATACTATTATGGAAAAGTAAAATGTTCCAGTTCGATGTTAATGCTTCATTCTACTGCAACAGAGGAAGTAGAAGTCAATGTCTTTTCTTTTCCCCTTCTCCCCCTTACTTTTTCCCCTCCTTCTTCCCCACTGTGTTCTACTATTTGCTTTTGTATTTTTGTATTTTATTTCATAATCTAATAAAATGTTACAAACCATAAAAAAGGAAAAAAGTATCGGTTTTAATTTCTTCGGTGGTGGTTCCTTTGCTCTCAGGCCACATGGAGGACCCCCAGCAGTCCAGGCTGCCCAAGGCCCTGGGCAGTGGAAGGCAAGTGCTCAGCTCAGCCCAGTCTTCCTCAAGCCCCCCCCCCCCAGCTGTGCTTACCTTCTCCTCGAGGCTGCTGCTGCTTGGCTCGCTTTCCTTGGCCAGGTTGCTCATGGTGTGTGTGGGAAGGCAAAATCTGTGGGTCAGAGGGAGGCCCAATCCTTCTCCATGTGAGGAGAACCAGCTTTGTAACCAAAGCATCCTCAGCAATAGGATGGGAGACCACCAGGAGAGTCAGGCAGAGGGGACAAGGGGATGGCAAAAGGCAGCAGAGCTGGTCTTGGCCAAATGCTAAGGCAGGACTTCCCTCAAACCCTCCCTCTCTCCCATTGTAATCTCCTTCCTTTCTCCTTCCTTCCTTCCTTCCTCTTCTTCTTTTTCCTTCCCTCTTCATTCTCGTTTCCTTTTTCTTCCTTCCCCTCTTTCCTTCTTTTTCTTTGTCTTTCCTCTTTCCCTTTCTCCTTTCCTGTCCCTTCTTGGATGTTCAAATGCAAAAGGGGAAACATTTCTCGATGCCTCCTTGCCTTATGATCAAATGCCACTTTTGCTAGTGGCATTAAAAGAGCTTTAAAAAGGTGGAATAGACAACATCACCACCAGATGGATCTGTAGCTGGCTGACAAACCGTAGTCAATGAGTAGTCCTCAACGGCACTACATCCACATGGTGAGAAGTAAGCAATGGGGTACCACAAGGTTCAGTCTTAGGCCCAGTACTCTTCAATATCTTCATTAATGACTTAGATGAAGGAATTGAAGGGGAACACATCAAATTTGCAGATGACACCAAGCTGTCAGGAGTAGCCAGCACCCCAGAAGACAAACTCAGGATCCAAAAAGATCTTGACAAACTCAAACAATGGGCCCTATCCGACAAAATGAGTTTCAACATGGAGAAAAGCAAAGGCAGGAAAAACCAAAGGCATGAATACAGATTGGGTGAGACCTGGCTTAAAAACAGTAACTGTGAGAGGGAGCTTCGAGTCCTAATGGACAATCACTTGACGATGAGCCAGCAGTGTGCAGCAGCAACCAAAAATGCTAATACAATCCTGGGTTGTATAAACAGAGGCATATAATCAAGATCACGTAAAGTACTAGTACTGCTTTACAAAGCCCTAGTAAGACTACACCTGGAATACTGCAGCCAATTTTGGTCACCATATCACAAAAAGATGTTGAAAGTTTGGAAACAATTCAGAGAAGAGCAACTAAGATGATCAAAGGCCTGGAGGCTAAAACATAGAATGGCTGGGGACTTGGGGTTGGATAGTCTAAAGAAAAGAAGAAATAGGGGACACATGATAGCAGTATTCCAGAATCTGAGGGGCTGCCCCAAAGCAGAAGGGGTCAGGTTGTTTACCAGAGCACCAGAGGGAAGGACGAGAAACAATGGTTGAAAACTGATCAAAGAGAGAAGCAACCTGGAATTAAGGAAAAACTTCCTGACAGTGAGGACAATCAACCAGTGGAACAGCTTATCCCCAGAAATCGTGGATGCTCCATCACTGCAGATTTTTAAGAAAAAACTAGACAATCACCTGTACGAGATGGTATAGGTTCTCCTGCTGGAGCAGGGGGCTGGACCTCCCTCCAGGGTCCCTTCCAGCTCTATTCTATTCTATTCTATTCTATTCTATTCTATTCTATTCTATTCTATTCTATTCTATAAGATACAAGTTAATTTTATTTTATTTACATGCATGTAATCAATAATATAACAATACTGTCTAGAGCAGCCCCATGCAAGACACGAAATAAATTTAACAAATAAATTAAATAAAAATAAATAAAATATTCTGGATTCCTAGAATAATGATTTTTATTTTTATTTATTTATTTACTCCATTTCTATAGCTGCCCAACTCAACCAAGTGATTTTGAGCCAGCTATAATGGTTGTGGGTATTCTTGTGGTTATTGTTTTTACAGCAGCCATGTATGTTTATACACCGTGTTAATCCAATTGGAAAGTGATGAAAGGATGATTGACCATAAGGGAAGCCTCCAAATTCTATTCAATAGATCAGTCTATCCACTTATAGACCTCAAGATCAATTCCTCAACCTCCCACAGCAAATTTAAAAAGTTTCCTGTGGCATCTTACAAACATGTTTGCTTCAGCACTTCTACAAGTAAAGTTAACAACGCCTAGTTATCACAGACACTATGATTAAGTCACCAGGCCAATCCTCCAGTGGCTCTCAAGATAATTCTGAAGGAAATACCAGCAGCAAACTGCAGAATAGATATATAAACCTCCAATATATTGTTCCCAGCTGAGGACCTTTCATCCAAATTGGTTGAAGTCTTCCACAGCCACTGCAGAGTCAGTAAGAGAACTGCTGCCAAAAGTTGGGGGCCTTAGGATTTTGTATCTATTTGCTGTTCACAACACAAATATTTTTAGACTGTTGATCAGCCAATGCCTATTGGCCTATTGCCAATTCCAGAGTGGACAGATTCTGCCAGATTTCAACAAGTAGGGCTACCTACATGGTCCCACACATGTAAGATATATGAGGACAATAATCTTAAAGGAAAGTCTATTAAAATTCTGCAAAAGCCATAAAGCCTGAGGATCAAGACAAGATATTGTGGTGGACAAGAGGCTGAAAACCAGGTATTCTGATCAAGAACATCTATGTCCAGTCACACTTTGAGCATCCGGGCAACCGGACACAGAAGAAGCTAAAGTTTAGGAACAGATCAATTACTGAGGCATGACAGATCTCAACACCTGTAGCAGTTGTTTTGCTGACATCCTGTTTGCATCAAGGCTTTTTGCACCACCAGTACAGTAGAAGTCAAATGAGCAGGAATGTTGGGGATTATTGTCATATTACTCTTTCCAGAATGGGTCATGAAGGTACAATCTCTTAAGTGCACTGGAGATAAAGCCATTGAAATTCCCCAGGAATGGTACCAAGAGGGAGAACTTCTCATTGGTGGATTGATGTCTCATTTCCATTACCTGTTCCCCCAAATTATTTTCGATAAGCATCCTTCTGAGGAATCAGTTAACATCCCATTGTAAGAAATCACTCTCTTATCTGATTTTAAATGAATCCTGCTCTCTTCTTGTATTAGGTTGTATTATCATGTGATAAAGAATATACATGTATCATGGGCATATTCTTTATGGCAGCTTGATAAATACCATGTTTCCCCGAAAATAAGACCAGGTCTTATTTTTATTTTTATTTTTTTCCTCCAAAAGAGGCATCAGGTCTTATTTTCAGGGATGTCTTACTCACCTCTGGCACCGCCAGCACCGCCCAGGAGATCAACGTCCTCTGGGGGCGAAAAAGTAGCTTCATTCTACAGCTGCATTCCGGCCTGCATTTTGTAGTCAGGCCTTTCCAGAAGGCCTCTGTAGCCGCATACCGAGCTATGGATTCAATCCAGGGGCCTTCTGAAATGGCCTGTAACTGAGAAATGCAGGCCTGGCTGCAGAAGATGCCGCAGAGGAAGTGGGTTGGCGAGGAGAGGCCTGGCTGCAAGGTAAGTGGGTGATTGGCCGTGGGGCAGCTCCACACTCCCACCCCTGCCCTAGCTTGATTTTTAGGTGTGGACCTCATCCCAAAACTGGGGCTTATTTTGGGAGTAGAGCTTATATTAGGCCCACCCCCAAAAATCAAGCTAGGGCTTATTTTGGGAGTAGGTCTTTGGGGAAAACATAGTAGAAATGATTTATTAACTCAACATCCTATTTTCTATTTTAACACAAAGCCAAAGGTGCAAGCAGCTATTCTATGGGCAAGCAGCTATTCTATGAAAAACTTAACCCTCTTCCTGGTTGGAGAAAAAAAAGCATCAGTCCTAATTCACCTTAACATTAAAAGCACTATAATATTTTAGATATACCCTTTTCTATCCTCAACCTTTCCTTAGACCATTAGATCCAGAAATGCATTGACAGGGGAATGAAAAATAATTTCCAAAACTTTTGGGAGGCATTAGTTATTAATATCATATCTCTAATATTTTTAACTGATTAGACTTTTGAGGTCCACCTGTTCTATTTCAAAATATCACAGAGTTTCTTATAATCTTTGAATGAGCAATGCAAACGGGAAACACAAATTTTCACCAGAAGGGAAGAAACATGAATTCTTCTTCTCACAATCTTCTCTGAAGCTCTTACAGCAGAAACAATTCTCTGTGGGAAGAAACATGAATTTCTAAATATGTGGCTGTGTTCCTCAACTCCACTTTCCTCATCACTGAGATTCTCTGTAATATTTAATCATACGTTAGTTCCACTTGGTTCAGATTCTCACTGAAAAATCAACCCATTCCATTTTTTTTTCCAGCTCAGTAATCTGTTCAAAGTTTTGGGACACATCTTCTAGAGAATTTATTGATTACTGCTACCCAGTACATTTTTTTCAATACAAAGAGCAAAATGTTTAATTCTGATATCATTGAATGATATTAGATTGTGTAATAATTAATAAGGTGAATGTGTTCTAATTGTAGATCAAATGAATATTTATAAAGGACTAAAATTCTCATGACAAAGTTTAGATGAAAATAATGTCTCCTTTCTAAAAGCAAGAAAAAATGGATTTTTAGGGGGATTAGACCTCTTTCACATGACATCTATTCAGCAATTTCAGGAATTTATATCTCCCTTTTGTAAAGACTTTCATGGTTCCTCCAATTGTTCCAAACAGAACCCATGACATTATACTCAACTGCACAGAAGAACTTTGCTTTAATTTTTCTGGATGTCGCAGTTTAAGAATCTGTTAAAACATACAATTAAACAATCCACTTTATATTAGATACGAATCTTGAATCTACAGACAAACTGTGGAAATTCAACAATACAGTCTCCAATACACATAATGCAAGGGCAGTCTAAGAAAGCAACATCACAATTTATTTACTTTGTTTTAGAATAGAGTTGGAAGGGACCTTGGAGGTCTTCTAGTCTCAAGCAAGAGAACATATCTCTTTAATACCATAATGTATAGCACAATTCTCTTTTGAAACAAATCCTTTTATTTGCAGTGTTGTGACAAAGTTCTACCAACACATCTTGGCATTAGTCTTTGCAGTGAAAGAGATAAACAAGGATCCCTACATCTTGCCCAACATTACTCTTGGATTCCATATCTATGACAGCTATTCTGATTCTCGAATGACATATCGTACCAGTCTGGACCTGCTTTTTAAATTGCATAAAATTGTGCCTAACTATATTTGTGAGACTGAAAAGAAAATGATGGGAATCATTGGAGGGATGAGCCCTGAAACTTCCATACGCATGGCAGAAATTCTGCAGCTTTTCAAGATTCCTCAGGTTAACTATAAATTAGGCAGAATGGGACAACTCGCCATGGCCAACTTACTGCAGGACAACACCACAAGACAACTCAACTATTATTACTAATATTAATAATGTTAATAATATTATGAGGGCTGTAGAGGACAGTCATCTTGCATTAAGTTATCCCATAGCAAATTGTCCTGCAGCATGTTACCTGTCACAAGTTGGTGGTGACAAATTGTCCTATACCCTAGATTAAGATGGGTGGACTTGTGAAATTATTATCACACAGGTTATCAGCTATACATTTCCCTTTCAAGGAACAATTTTATGGTTCATCAGTGAAGAAGTGTAGAATATATAAGAAACAATGTAAGGTGTAGAGTGTGATTAATATAAGTTTTGCTTCAGTATATGGCTGCTTTCAGCAATTGCAAGATGAATCCACACATGCAAAAATTTAGAGAAATGTTTGAATGTGTGTGGTCATGCTACTTATCATTAACTGCCTCATTGATTTCAATTCATATATTTTAAGCATAATGTGCACAAATAACTTAGTTTAGCTGCAGCTAGCTGAAGGAGAGATAGATAAACAGGTAGGTAAACATATCACTCATTCCTCCATTCATTTATTTAGATCTCATATGGCTCATTTGAATTGGCAGTGACTGATGAATCATTTCCACCCCCTTTTTATCGCATGGCACCCAATGAAGCTCTCCAGCATGAGGGTTTAATCCAGCTCTTTCTATTCTTTGGATGGAAGTGGGTAGGACTTGTCATTGTAGATGACGAACATGGAGAACATTTTATACAAACTCTGGAACCTATGCTCTCGCGAAATAAAATCTGCTCTGAATTCACGGAAAGAGTTGACAGAAATTTCCATTTTTATGAACTATTTGACATGATTGAAAAAACTGTGAGTCATATTACCTTGTTCACAAAGAAAGTAGCAAATGCAGTTGTTATATATGGAGAAAATATAGTCTTTATGTGGCTAGCATCTGCTCTACTAGTGACCCCAATTATTCTTCCAACAACCTTTAATTCTTCAGAGACACTTTGTACAAGAAAAGTGTGGATCACAATGGCCCAAAATGACTTTACATTACATTCCTTACAAAAGGCTCTTGATATGCAAATGTTCCATGGAGCCATTTCCTTCTCCATTAGCAAAAAAGAACTTCCAGGTTTCCAACAATTTATACAGGCTATCACCCCTTCTTGGGAAAATCAAGATGGCTTCATTAGAGATTTCTGGCACCAAGCTTTTGACTGCACACCAACAAATAATGGTGTTTCTCAGGATGAGGAATGTACTGGAAAGGAAAGACTGGAGGACCTTCCTGCACCCTTCTTTGAAACCAGCATACTTGGCCATAGTTATAGTATCTATAATGCTGTCTATGCTTTGGTTCAAGCCTTACAAACTGCTTACACAATTAGGACACATCAGAACATACAAAAGGACAGGGATCAAGTGCGATCAAAGATTGTAGAAGCCTGGCAGGTAAGAGTTGCACCTTCTCAATTCTCTTTTAAAAGATTCTTCATGGTTACAACAGAGTGCCAGGACTTAATTTGTCAACAGATCATTGTAGGCCAGCTTCCTGAACATCACTGATGTTCACCTTTGTTCAAAGTTCATAGATTACAAATGTTGACCCATTGAACATATTATCTTTTACCTACACATCCCAGTTTTTCTCTTTTCTCTCTATCCAAATAAAACAACTGTTCTTCAACTTTCCTCTGCCTTTCTTGTTCTCTGCAGTAGATTTTCTTCCCATTGCTTCTTCTTACTCTTTTCCTTTCTCAATTATCAGTGAAGAATATCACTGAATACCATTTTTAATATTTTATATGGAATATGGTCCAATAATACAATTAAATTGCTTCAATGCTTCTTTTCATACTTTTATACTTTTTATTCCTGGGGGAGAGGGATTCACATTTCAAAAGGGGTATTGTTTGAGGCAACTAGAAAACATACCTATTTCTATGGAAAGAGAAGAAAAGAGCAACAAAGATGATTAGGAGGCTGGAGGCTAAAACATATGAAGAACAGTTGCAGGAATTGAGTATGGCTAGTCTAGTGAAAAACAGTTCTATAGGAGGTATGATAGAAGTGTTCCAATATTTGAAGGGCTGCCACAAAGATGAGGGGGCCAACCTATTTTCCAAAGCACCAGAAGGCAAGACAAGAATCAATGGATGGAAAATATTCAAGGAGAGAAGCAACTTAGAACTAAAGAGAAATTTCCACTGGTTAGAACAATCAATCAGTGGAATGGCTTGTCTTCAGAAACTGTGGGTGCCCCATCAATGGAGGCTTTCAAAAAGATACTGGACATTTGTTGATTGGACTAGATGAACTCCAAGGTCCCTTCCAACTCTGTTATTCTATATTCTATGGTCTATGCTCTCTTTAACCCTTTATGCTTTTTCTTCTGCAAGCTCCACCCGTTTCTGCAGAGAATTTCCTTCAACAACAATGCTAGAGATGAAATTAAGTTAAATGAAGATGGAGCATTACAAGGTGGTTTTGACATTGTAAACCTGGTCACTTTCCCAAACAACTCTTATATCTACATCCCAGTTGGAGAAATGGATCCACAAGCTCCTTCAGGAAAAACCTTCCACATACATCCAGACAAAATCCAGTGGCATCATGAATTCACTCAGGTACTATCACAATAACATGGGCTAAAAGAACCCATCTAGTCTTTCCTTTAGTCCATAGATGGCAATTAGCTCATGAGCCCAATTAAATTTCAGTCCATCTCTTTCAAAGGTGTGCATTCTATTACTGGACTGCTTCATAATGTATATTCTCATTTTTTAGAGTTTCTAACATGTGAAAGGAAATTTACTTTCACTTAATGGGAGAACCCCAGCACCATGTCAAGAAGGAAGTATTGATATCTAAACCTTCATTCCTAACAAGGAACTCCTATGTAGCCACAGCTGAATGATATATTTGATGCTGGCAGTGGCAAAGACTCCTCTTCTTCCTGTAAAGCAAACCATAACGACTTCATGTTCCCAGCTCAGATCAGACCCTCAAGGTTATGGACTGTTTTCAAAAATTGTCATGATATTAAAGTCCTGCCCAAGAACATGGGATAGGCAAATGTTGTTGTTTTGTGCTGTTAAAGATTTCATCATAGAATTTATTCTGTTCCACGTAAAGCTGCTGTTACCAACTGATTGGTGGTTGGCAGTATCAAAATCACCATCAGTCAATATCCAAAGGCAGCTTTACTTGAAACAGCTTATAACAAGGGACAATATTTTTAATGCCATCAAACACCATCTCCTTATCCCAGATCCTTGGGAAGGACTCAATAATGGTTAAAAATGTCACATCCAGTGTAAACATCTGGATGGTTGTGCAGATAATAATAATAATAATAATAATAATAATAATAATAATAATAATAATAATAATAATAATAATAATAATAATAATAATAATAATAATAATAATCATCATCATCATCATCATCATCATCATCATCATCATCATCATCATCATCATCAGATTACACTCATATGCCACCTAACTCCTGGGCAGTTTACCAACTGTTAAAAAGTATTTTAAAACAAGAAACCATACACCTCTAAACAGCACAAAAGATCCAAGATGGTTGACAAAATGATCTCAATAAGAACAAGGAAAAGAAAAAGGCATCAATCATCTTTGCCTGGAGAAACATCATATCTTCTGGAACATTTCAAATGGGAATAGGGTGGTGGAGATTTGAATATTTATTGATTGATTGATTGTTGAATTTATTTGCTGATCATCTCATGGGTCAAGATGACTCTGAGGATCATACAAGAAGATGACACACAAACTATTGACAATTATACTTATGCTTCAAGTAATCAGGCCCTCTACTATGTAGGAGTTTATAGGTAATAACCAGCACATTGAATGTGGAGGAATTGACAAATAATCAAGGTATGGATATCAATGTGAATCTCAAGCACAGGAAATCAGGAGTCCAGGCAGTTCAAATGAATATATAGGTTTATTACATGCTAGAGGTCTCTACAAGAATCTGAATTAATAGTCAAAGCAAGTTGATGGTAAATAAGCATCAACAGAATTCAAGGAGGGCTGGACATAGATGTCTTGTGAGTGCAAAGAGACTGCAAACTGATGATGTGCTTGACCCATTCCTCATTCTCAGCCTGGCCATCTTCTACAGTGCACTGTGTTTCGTTAATAAAACTTCAGCTAAACTAAAAACAAATGAAATATGTTCTTGGTTCTGGCAAACTTTTCATATTAAATTGTTTGTTTTATAATAGGACTATAAAGAGTTTCATTCACATTCATTGGCTGAAAGACACAAATAAAACAAAAGGTTAATAATACCACTTTTTTCTATTTGGGGATAGCTACCTCCTCTCTCTTTATGTAATGATCACTGTCCTCTTGGAAAAAGAAAGAACAAGACTGAAGGGCAGAAATTTTGCTGCTATACTTGTGCTCCGTGTCCAGAAAAGATGATATCCAGAGAAATGGGTAAGATTCATTCCATCCCAATGGACCTATGCCTTAAAGTTCATTTCTGCAGCCTGTCTCCTACTTAACAAGAATCTCTTCAATCTTATTGCTTGCTGTATTGGTGCATCTCAAAGCAAGAAAAGGAAGAGATACTAGTGATATACTGTAGCCTGTCTCTCTATCCTTGAGCTTGAATCTAATTAAAGTGATTGGGCACCTTATATGAAGCAAGCAGTCATCCAACAGGACATTTCCTAATCTACTATCCTCTAGTTCTACTGCCTGTTTTCCAGGATCTAAAGCTTCTTCTTTCTCTTTTCCATTAGATGACAGACATTTAGAAAATGTGGCATACTTGCTCAGAAATGCTACTAAACCTAATGCATTCCAATAGGCCAACATGATTGAAATGTAGGAAAATCTAAATTGTTTTTTCTGTCAGTATTCATTTATTTACATGTAGGTTGAATAGAGAGTTACAAAAGGATTTAGAAAACATTTACTTTGCAAGGAACTCCAGAAAAGCAATCCTGAAACTTAGGAAAAATGTAATTCTGATCAAAAATTTCTTTCTTCTTTTCAGACATGGAGAATTGTGACAGTTGTCCAAAGGATCAATTTCCAAACCAAGCTCATGATGAGTGCATTCCAAAATCAACGAATTTCCTCTCCTTTGAACAGCCACTGAGCATTACTTTGGTGTCTCTGGCTCTTTTTCTTGCCCTGTTTACAGCTTTGGTGTTTACAGTCTTCATCAACCAACGGGACACTCCCATTGTCAAGGCCAATAATCGCAACCTCACCTACCTTCTACTTGTCTCCCTCTTTCTCTGTTTCCTCTGCTCACTTCTGTTCATTGGACACCCCAATACGGTGACCTGCCTCCTCCAACAAACAACATTTGGCATCATCTTCTCTATTGCAATCTCTTCTATATTGGCCAAAACCATCACAGTCATTGTAGCATTCCTAGCATCAAAGCCAGGAAGCCTATTCCACAAATGGGTGGGGCAAAAGTTGGCCTATTCTATTATCTTTTTCTGCTCCTTCGTTCAAGTAGGAATTTGTATTGGTTGGCTGGGTACGTCTCCTCCATTTCCTAGTTTGGACGTGGAGACACTCCATGAAGAAATCATTGTAGAATGTCATGCAGGCTCCATCACCATGTTTTACTGTGTCTTGGGTTACGTGGGCCTCTTGGCTCTTCTCAGTTTCACTGTGGCCTTCCTAGCTAGAAAGTTGCCAGACAGTTTTAATGAAGCCAAGTTCATCACTTTCAGCATGTTGGTTTTCTGCAGTGTTTGGCTGACCTTTGTTCCCACCTACCTGAGCACCAAAGGAAAGTACATGGTGGCCGTAGAGATCTTCTCTATCCTGTCTTCCGGTGCTGGCTTACTGGGATGCATCTTCACCCCCAAATTCTATATAATTATATTTAGACCAGAACTCAACACAAGAGAGCATTTAATACATAAGAAATAGAAAAAGAACAAGAACAAGATCCAATTTTGAACAAACCAATTGTTCTTAGATCTTATCATCTAATAACGTGCTATTATCTTATTATTATTAGTTAACTAGATCGATACTTACAGCCATCATCATAAACATCAATAAAAAGAGTAATCTGATGGAGCTGTGTATATGTTTCAAACAGTTACAGAGTTATCATTAATTATCATTAGTACAGATAAAAGTAATCTATTAGGAAATAAATTATTTAGGTAGATAATAAAGTTAAAACAGACATGGCTGCATTTGTCTTTCACCTAAGAATTCTTCAGAGCCTGTTGTATCTTTTCTGGAAAGGTATATTAATTTTGCAGGAAGAAATTTTCCATATGCTTTAATTAAATTGTTCTATTTTGGTTTTTATTTTTTTACAAACCAATTTTTGAGAGGAAAAAGAATTGTGTCTACATCAAGATTAACATTAGAGATGTGCTGGCTCATTGGCTTAATCACGCTAGAGGTAGTTTCTACTAGGACAGTTTGAGTCCTAGCACTGCATGTTGGGATGAATTCCACTCACTTTAGCTTCTCTCCATCTAACCGTTCAAAAGCATGCTCTATGTGAGTAGATAAAATAGGTATCACTTCAGTGAGGAGATGAGCTTGTTCTCTGTGCAGACAGTCAGATTCCTGCCCTCTGAACCTTCCCAGTTATGGCACCCATTTGTGAAGCAGATACAGGAAGGGAGAGGGCTTTGGATGGCGCTGCAGGAAGAGCTGATTATTTTTATTTCTGGTGTGGAACTAGCTTGCCTTCCTGTAGTGCACCTTGGAAAACATGCGAGAATTTCCCATAACAGAGCTGGTACCTTGGCAAACCAAACTACTATGCAATAATATTGTGGTCTCCTGGCTAATTTAACAATGTCATATGCTAATAAGAATAAGATAGACATTACAAAGAACAGACTGAACAAACCTAAAGATTCTTTAGATTGTTGAGTGATTTTCCCTCTTCTTAAAAACTATTGACTATTTGGGGCTTCAGAAGGAAATGCAGTCTACATGACAATCAATCCAAGAGGCGATAATCTCACTTAAAGAAGATATAAGGAAAAATCACAGTGAGACAATTTCGATAAAACAAATGAACAAATTTATAATTTAAATTTTCTATTACAAAACTTCCAGCAAATGATCACAAAGAATAAACAAAGAATTCAGAAAATAGAAGATAAATCAGAGGAAATTTACCAAAAGATGGAAGAAATGAAAGAAGAAAACCAAAGGCTGATGCAGGCTAATAAAGATTTAGAGGACTCAGTGGCAGTTCTGAAAATGGAAAAGGCATCTTATTTATTAAGATTTCAGAACATAATGGAAGATAGAGAAGCAGATCTCCCAGATCTGATGAGAGAGCTGCTAGCAGAAGCATTGGAAATTGGGAAGCAGGAAATGGAAGGAGAGATGAACCAAATATTTAGGGTCAATTCAAGTTATGCAAGGAGAAACAAACTCCCCAGGGAGGTACATGTTAGATTTGTGAAAAAATCAATAAGAGACGAGATATTGACATGAGTGAGAGATGACTCATTGCAGTATAAAGAAAAGGAAATTGTAGTCTTGAAGCAGATTCCTAGAAGGATAAGAGACTCACAGAAAGAATATCAATTTTTAACTAAAAAACTAATTGAAAAAGGAGTGAATTTTAGATGGCTGGTACCAGAAGGGATTTTAATCAATTGGGATACTAAGAGATACAGATTGGACTCCATTTTCAAAGAAATGAAATTCTATGAGAGACACAGAGCTTTTCTTGAAGGGAAAGGTTTAGAACTTCAATCTAATAGGGAAGGTAGAAAACAGGAAGAGGTAGCATCAGGAGAGGTGGTTGTACAAGGACAGTGCCAAGCTGAGGAATTCCATTCTTAAAACAATTAAATCACAAAGAGCCGACCATTCAATGGATCGGGGCCAGCGACGAAATTAAGAACTCAGTCAGAGGCCCTAGAGCAATTGCAAAGCGACAGCACCATCGTTGTTCAGTCAGAGGCCCTAGAGCAATTGCAAAGCGACAGCACCATCGTTGTTCTGCCAGCTGACAAGGGCAGGGCGACTGTCATTATGGACAGACCGGAATACATCCGTTAAGCCCTTGCATTGCTCAGTGACACCAGCGCCTACCAGATAATTGTGAAAGACCCGATGACAGTTCTCAAAAACCAGCTTGGCAAACTGACAGATAGACTCAAACAGCAGGAAAGAATCGACGATGACTCATTGAGGGCTATACGCCCCAGAGACTAGGCCATGGCTAGGTTTTATGGGCTCCCAAAAATTCACAAGGAAGGCATCCCTCTATGATCCATTGTGTCGTTTAGAGGCACACCGACCTCGGGATTTGCCAAATGGTTGAGCAGTTGGATTGGATATCTTGTGGAGAACAACGAGACTATGGTGAAGTCATCGCAGGAGTTCCTGGGAAGGATAAAAACCTTAAGGATAGAGAAAGATGAGATTATGGTGTCCTTTGATGTCACCTCATTCTTCACCTCCATCTCGCAAGACCTGGCGATTGCAGTGATAAGAAGCCACCTTCAGCAAGAGGAAGGACCACACCAGGACTCACTTTGCACTGAGAACCTTATACAACTTATGGCCCTGTGTCCTAGAACGTATTTTATGTTCCAAGGCACCATTTACAAACAAGTCAAAGGCACACCAATGGGTTCCCCAATTTCGGGGGTTATCGCAGAGGCGGTCTTACAGCAGTTGGAGGCCGAAGTGATGACCAGGTATCACCCCAGGTTTTATGCTGGATACATGGATGACACCTTTGTGGTCATCAAGAGGCAGGACAGCATCTGGTTTATGAATGAGTTGAATTCGGTCTATCCCGACATCCGTTTTACAGCAGAGGAAGAGACCGATGGCACGCTTCCTGGATGTACTGGTTAGCCTTCAGCCTCACGGTATTCTCCCCACAACTGTTCACCGTAAGCCAACAAACACCAATAGGGTTCTGCATTATAGGAGGAACCATCCAGTGTCACACAAAATTGACTGCATTAGGAGATCAACACTCACTGCAATACTGACAGCAAAAGCAGAGGAGAAGAATCATCTGTATCGTATCTGCAGACGGAATGGCTATCCAGTGGAATTTATTAAGTACAGCAGACCATATGAGCCTCGCGGGAGCCAACACATAGGCATGCCTATGGCATGGACAACATTGTCGTATATTAACGGCATGTCGGAGGCAACGGCGCAAATGTTAGCCCCATATAATATTAACATCGCCCATAAACCAGACCAAACCCTGCATGCTAAGGTAATGCACCCCAAAGAGCCTCTCCCCAATGAAGAAAGATCTTCAGTAATATATAAAATAAAATGTGAGAATTGCCCCTGCAACTACGTTGGGGAGACAACCAAATGGCTCGGGACCAGGATTCACGAGCATGAACTGGCCATCAGACGGCAGGAACAACGTTCATAAATATGGGCACATATGACCAGCTGCAACCACACGTTCGACCTTGCGGGGGTGGAGACCATTGCCCAGGATACCACCAAGGGCGGACGATTACTTAAGAAGGCCTGGCTATCCAACGGACACTCGATCAACCGCCACATAGACCTACTGCCTGCTTATCAGGCATTAAGGGAGTGGGAGGAACAATGTAACAACTTGCGACAAAGGCAATGAGTGCCGGCAATGCAGGATCGGAACGGCTGGCCCATGCAACAAAGAACTACAACTGCCGAAAGGAAGGAATCCCCAGTGCATCGTGTGCAAGAACTAAGGGGGGAACCAGGGCACAGCCAAAAGGAGGGGTAGCCATAGGACGTTAGGGAACCAATCCACAGCAACAGGCACTCAGACACGAACCAGGCAGACAAGGAGAGCAACCATAAGGGAGGAAATGATCCCTGAGTCTAAGAACACACAGACTGATGTGGGACAGCTAGAAACAATACGGCCAATTGGGGCGGGCAGACATTGTTTGACAGTAAGTGTGGCACATTAGTCCAAGCCAAACTCCATTTCAATATCTTGGCTATACAGTATATACGGACAGTGTTGAGCAGCGATTCTATTTCAGATGATGTTTTTCCATACAGCTTCAGATCATCCATGTAAAGGAGGTGGGATAGTCTGGCAGATGTTTTTGATGTTTGATAGCCATGTTCTGAGTTATTCAGTATTGTTGACAAAGGAAACAGTGCAATAACAAATAGTAATGGTGATAATGAATCTCATTGAAATATTTTCTCTTGATATTAACCTCTCCCAGTCTCTCACCACTGACTTGCAACTGTATCTTCCATTGTGCCATCGATCTTTGCACAAATTTTCTGATGTTTCTACTGACTCCTGTTATTTCTAGGCACTTGATTATCCAGTCATGTGGCAGAGAGTCAAATGCCTTTTTGTAGTCAATCCATGCCACATTCAGGTTGGTCTTCCATTTCTTGCAGTTTTCCAAGGTCATTTTGTCTATTAGGAGTTGATCTTTTGTTTCTTTACTATTGGGGTGGTTTCCTTTCTGCTCGGGTGGAAAAAGATTGTTTTCAACTAGATGCTGTTGTACTGCATCAGCTACCACACCAGTTAGTAATTTGAAAGTTGTTGGTAAGCAGGTAATTGGCCTGTAGTTGCCTGATATTGCCCCTTTTGCTGGATTTTTCATTATTAGGTAGGCTTTCCCAGTTGTTAGCCACTTTTCAATTTCTCCTCCTTGTAGTATATTGTTGAACTGCTTGGCAATGAGTGGGTATATAACAGTTACAGTAGATGTTTCAACCAAAACCCATGCAGTTCATCTTCACCTGGTGCTGACCAATTTTTGATCTTCCTTGCTCTTTTTTCTACCATTTTTGTTGTTATTACTAGTTCTTTCATTTCAACTTTTGTTTTATTTGCATCTACCTCTTTTAACAAAGCTGCATCCTTGTTGTATTTCTTTGGGTTATCCTATATCTGTTTCCAGAACTGCACTGTTTCTTCCTTGTCAGGTACTGAC